CCTGCCCCAGTCAGCAGGGAGCCCCAGGCCAGCTCCCTGGGCAGGCTGCTATTCGGGAGGCACCAAATGCAACCCTGTCAGCAAGAAACCCACAGAGACCAACAATGCAGGGTAGAGGGCAGGAGTGGGAGTTCTGGGCTGACACTGACCACCACCCCTCAACCAAGGCAGGGAGGTGAAGTGGGAACAGATAGAGACCTACTTCAGAGAGGGAAGGCAAGTCAATGTCAACTCAGGACAGCATTCCCAGGAATTGTGAGAGCAGGCAACAAGCCTGCCAGAAAGCAAGGAGGGGCAGGGGCAAGGAACGTTGCTAAATTCCCTTCAAATCAAGTTCCTGAGATAGCACATGCAAGACAGCGACTTAAAACACATAAACAGTTACATTCCCACTTCCTGCATCCATATATAAGAGGCTGTGTACCATGGTGGTATAGCATGACCCTCAGACCCAGAGAGCCTGGGTGCACGTTCCCACTCTGCCAAGTACTGGTAGTGTAATCATGAACAAGCCACTTAGCCGCTCTGTATCGGGAAAATGGAGATGGTAATACTAGTACACATCTCGGCGCTGCTTGGAATATTCAATGAGCTAACACATGCACACCGCTACGAACGGTGCCTAGTAAGCATGAATGACAAGTGCTAGCTCTTACCATCATCACTGTTAAATGCCACCCTGGGGATGGTGGTGCTGCCTCTGAGTTGAACTGAAGCCCGTGGCTCAGCTGTGCCCAGGCTGTGCTGCCCTGGTACAATCCACAAGGATATCTCGGGGAGGGCTTCCTGGATAGAGATGGTAACCTTGCCCTGAGCTACTAACTGAGAAAGCACTGGATCCTAAGTCCAGAGTCCTAGCCAGGCCCCCCCTCTACAGGGAGCCTGAGGAAAGATACTTAGATTTTTCTTTCTTTCCTTCTTTCTTTCTTTTTTTGAACCCTGTGTTTGTAAGAAGAGTGTACAGACAAACATACCTCAGAAAAGCAACTAATCTTTCAAACTACCAACTCAGCCTCTCCTCTGGGCCATCTGTGAGGCCATGAGTACATGAGGCTGTGTAGCCTTGGTCTCCACCTCAGATGCTTATTAGCCTGGGCTGGGCGGGGAAGAGGCCTTTCTGTCAGAGAGGAGGCTCCTTACTTCAATGACTACTTGCTTGATGTCAAAGTTTTGGAGAACAAAGGAAACTTCTGGTATCCAGCTGAGATGGAATAGAGCATCACCACAGGGAGCTGGCTGTCCTGTCTACCAAAACTCCCGGTGTCTGACCGGGAACAAGAAGGCCTTGATGCTTCACCATACAACACATGGCCTGAACTCTGAGAGGGAGACTGGGGATGAGACAAAGGTCTGCAGTCAGGGACACTCCTTCTTGGGATGCGGACTCGAAAGAGCTCTCCCTACAGAATTGTTTCTGGAGCAGAGGTAGAGGGGGACGAAGTTAGAAGCAAGGCACATGACACTCAGCTGATTTCCCAGATTTCTAAGTCGCCTGCAATCAGCTCTGCCCTGGGATGCAGGTCTACATACTGTTTCAACTCCAGCAAAGCCATGGGGAGACCACGGCAGCATGTTTCCATGGAGCAGCACCGGCCCTTGAGGAGGCCGACGGCACTTACCAGGAAGCGGACATCGTCAAAGCCATTCAGAAGCAACTTGCTCTCATATTGCTGCAGCCCAACCGCCTCCAGCCACTCCCCGACACTCTGCTCCAGTGTCCGCGAACCTGACGAGAGAGGAATCGGCAGACGCTTGAAAAGGGAAAAACCATTAAGACGGTAGCAGCGGCACTCAGAGGAAGACAGATGGCACTGCCACATCATAGTCATTACCATAAAGCAGCCAAACTATGGACAAGAGACCAGAGAGCAGAGGACCCGTAGCTCCTCTTCCGTGAGCAGGCCAAGGGCAGCGCGCCCAGCGCTGCACAAACACTCCCAACCTCGGGCGGTTGAGCCCACTCACACCCCCTCGGCCTGAGCTGCGTCAGGGCCGCGGGGACACATGCACAACCTCTGCTCACAGGTGTAGGGGGGAACCAACCCCCACCAGTCTCCGGGTCAACTCCTCATCAGTGTTCACACTGAGGTAGTTCAGAAAGTCTGGTCCCACGGGCACTAGCGGGGACTGGGGAACTCCTCTCATCCACGCACTCCAAGAGCCCCCTTGGGGCTGTGGGCGTGGGACTAGTCCTGCGACCTTGCAGCATACACTGGTCAGGAGAGCGCACACATCTTCATGCAGCTCAGGGACACAGGCACACAGCGAGGGCTCCGGGAGGGAAGCAGCGGCGGCTGTTCACAGGGACCCAGCACATGCAACCCAAGCAGCAGCGAATACGGCAGGGGAGAAAAGAGACTTTTACTTGTTTTCCCCCAGCAGTCCCGGAACAAACAAACCATGGCCCTTTGTGCTCAGAGGCTCAGGCAGCGAGGGGCTGAGCGGGGCGCATGGGCCAAGGCTCAGGACCAGGCTCAGGGTGGCTCTGCTGGGACGGCAACATCGCATTCCGCTGGGCTGTGCAGCCAGTGGGCCAGGAGCCCGGTCCACAGCTAGACCCTGGCTGCCAGCAAACGGGGCGTCTCCCAGGCCAGGGTGCTGTCTGAAGGGCTGCCTTCCCCGGCCGGGCGGTTTTGCAGGTGCTGGGCATTCATTTTCCTCTTCTGATAGTGGCTGTTCCTGTAACTTGCCTGCCTGCTCAGGTGGAAAGTAGGCAGGCAGATCCAGTTCTTGGCTAGTGACAACAAAACCCAGCCAGATAAAAGAAAAAGGAAGCGGTCCTCTGTCAGCTGCGATGAGGCGGCTTAAGTCTATTCACATTCTGTGCTGCTCTCTCTGGCTGAGAGATAAAGACAGCAAGTGTCTTCCCAGGCCCTCCGGATCCTGATGTTCTCCTCTGAGGATGAGCAGGGAAGGGAGGACATCTATTTGCTATGCTCCTCGGCTAGGAAGGGAGTGTGGTGGTGCAGGGAGAAAAAAAGTTCAGCCCTCCTGGCAGACCTTGGATGTCCTGAGCTGAACGCCTTAACCCCCACCTACTTCGCTGGTTCTCACAGGCAAGCACAAATAAAAGAAGGAAAAACAAAAAGGAAGGAAACAGGTGCGAGGAAGGAAGAACCAACTATAAAACATCACCTCCAGAGAACTCTTGACACGGTGACAGTCATTTTGTAGTTCCTGGCACTTTCTGCCCTCAAGGCAGGCATAGGCCAACTGGCTTGGTTACCTAGGAGACCCTAGTGACCCAGGGTCCCAGGTTCTCCCTCATCTGTCCTCTGTAAAACAGATGGTGGTCAGGGACCTGGGCGGCCTCCCGACGCACACTGTAGCAGCACTCCAAGATGCCGAGTCTGGAGCTACTTGAGCTCCCCTGCCCTTGAGCGGGGCTGTCTGCTCCAGGGACCTAAGCGGCAGGCTTTTGTCCACTCCTGAAGTCAAATGTCCTTAGCTGCTGATTCATTCCTGCCTGTAATCCCCCAGCCGGGCAGCTGTGGTCCTGCCTGCTGCCGGTGGATGTGTGTGCTCACAGAACCGCAGCAGAGTGCTTTGTCTAAAGGCTCTTGGGCTCCATGCTGCCTGCTGCCGGCTCCACAGTCCTTGCTCACTCTCAGAATGTCTGGCCCTCCCCCTTCTCCCTTCCCCACCCCCTCCCCTCCATGCTCAGGAAAATACATCAGGGATCGGACATCGAAGCAGAAGCTGCGGCTGCTGCCACTGCTGCCGCTGAGGGAAAGACAGCAGCAGTAGCATTAAAGCAAAATGACAGATTTCCCAATAGCTGAT